CGCGGGGACGCGCTGGGCTGCGGGGAGCGCGCCGAGACCGGGGGCACGCGGAGCCGCGGGGCAGAACGCGGGGAAGTAGGTTCGAAGCGGACGCGGATGCAGGCGGATGCAGACCCTGGACCTGGCGCGGCGCGCGGGTCACGCGGAGCGCGCGGGGGTGTGAAGTGGAACGCGCCCCAAATGCTTCACGCGGGCGCTGTGAGTCCGCGGGGCGGGAGGGTCTGCGGGGTCACTGGGCCCGGCGCCCCAGCACGAGGACCGTGGAGTGGAATCTGGGGCGTTAGTTGGTGGGGGACCCCGCAGAGTCGCCCCCACCGCGTAGTCCTGCCTGGCACGCGTCAACACCCAGAGCTGCGCTCCCCCCCCCCCGACCAGGCCTCCTGCGTCGTTCAACCGCAAAGCCGCTAGGAGTGTGTGTTCCTACACACTTTTGTGGAATGATGAAAAAGATCCACGCCTATGGGAACTCAGTCCACAGCAGAGGTAGCCGTCCACGTCAACGAGGGGGGCTAACACCCATACGCCAGGCCCAGTTCCAAAAGCTTCAAGATTTACGCGTCAAAGTTAACGATGACAGTCACAGAATAAAACTTGGGGAAATGTCTTCAGTGTTGGAAAGGGAAGGCCTTTCTGGGTATGATTCAAATTCCCCAAGACGGCAGAGGCGAGTCTGGGAAAGTCAGCACCGTGGGAGCGCACGTTCTCCGCAGAGCAAGCCCCGCACAAGCGAAACACAACACCGCGTCACCAACTGGGGCGGGAGGGGCGGGGGCCTGCCTGCGCAGTGGTTAAGCGTCCGCTCCGCGGGGACAGAGGTGAGGCAGTTGTAGAAGGAGCCCTGGAAACCCCGAGGGGCAATTGTACTGTTACAGGGCCCTTAGGAGTCCAGTCGGCCAGCTGGAGGGGTGGAGAAGGCGGGCCTGGAACCTTCATCACTGAGGGCCAGACTTAGTAAGACAAAAAGCAGATCTTAATAATAAAGCACTCCCACCAATCAGTAGAAAAAGAGCTGGTCTTGGATAGAAAACGATCAAAGGACATGGCCAGAGGGCTCCGGAAAGGACCATGCAAATGTGAGGCCGGAAGGAGTTTCAGCCATCCTCCCAGGGAAATGCAAATCAGAGGGACTCTGGGGCCTTATATTATTATTGTTATTTTACCCTCGTAAATAGACCACATTACGGTGGGGATGTGGTTAGGATGAGCCACCTGGAAGCCTCTCACATGTCTACCTGAATAACCAAAGCCCATAACACACACCACAAATAGAAAACGACCCAGCCGGTGAGAGTCCACGTGGAGCCATTCTCCCCGCGGATGTGTTCCTGGATCGGATGTGTTCCTGGATCATCCAACTTGGCACCATCATTGCAGCAGGCTGGAAACAATCAAATGCTGGTTGTTAGCTGGTCAGTGGCGTCCTGAGTTTCCATCCCAAGAGACCAACACTGTGACGGCTTGTTGTTGTTGTTATGTGCCGTCGAGTCGGCCCCAACTCATAGCGACCCCTCCTTGGGTTTCCGAGGCAGTATCACTACGGAAGTCGTTGTTGTTGTTGTTGTTGTTGAAGTAGGATTGCCCAACCTTCCTTCCGAAGAGTGGCTGGTGGGTTTGAACTGCCAGCTGTCTGGTTAGCAGGCAAGTGTCTTAGCCACTATGCTACCAGAGCTCCTACTGTGACGGCACACGGCTGCAAACGGGAAGAAGGAAGCTCTTAAAGTCCCGCCGGGCCCAGGCCATCAGACACCGCACTAGCTGTAGCCTCCTCCATGGGGAAGGAAAAACACCTGATTTTCGGGTCTCCAAAGCCAGCAGGCCTCCGGAGGCCCAGCAGGGTCACTGGCTGACACTGGGGGAGGGGCCTTTTCACATTCCACCTGGGGTACTGTTTGACCTTTGCACCCAGCGCATGAATGCATTTTCCTGGCCCAGAAGGGAGGAGAGGCTGACTGGGCCAGCCCAAGGCCACTGAAAAGCAGTGGAGGGTGGAGGCCAGGGAGGAAGGAAGCTTATGGTGCAAAAACCTTGTAAGCAGTCTTTTGTGCCCTGAGAATCTGGGCTGGGCCTCCCCAGTCCTGCTGAATTTAAAGGTGCAGGTCCGTTTCTGGATTTGGCTGAGCTGCACCCACTGAGATCACCGAGGGCCATGCAGGGAGCCCAAGGCGTGGTCCTATGTCCGAGACCCTGGCCCTTTCCCCGATGGGCTCCAGAGCCTCCAGCTGAGCCCTCCTCACTCCAAGGGCCCTGGACAAGTGTGGCACCATGTGGCATCACGGGTTGAGGTTGCTGAACCCCAAGTTCCCCACCAGGTTTAGGCCTCTCTTGGGAAGGAGCGCACGTTGGGCTGGTAAACGCACAAGGAGCTCCAGCAGACTGGAAACCTCTTTCTAAATAAGGGAGCCGGTCGGCATTGGCAACGGAAAACCAGATGCTGGCTGTGGTACTTAGGGTTGTGTGTCAGCGTGGCTGGGCCTGGTGGAGTGGCCGGGCAGCTGGTGGGAGTTACTCCCTGTGATGAGACTGGCAATCAACTCCATGGTGGGATCTACCACAAGCAGCTGAGCAGCTGCCCTTGGGATGTTGTCTGCTTCCTGTATATAAGGAGAGGCCTTTGGGAATAGTCTCTAGCCTATGGCACGCTTGGACCCTGCATGTAGCCGTGTCGTTGCTCAGCAGCCTGCTATGCTCTGCCCACCTTGGGACTTACAGTGGACTTAAGTTAATGGCCTGCCGTGTGGATTGGTAACATCGGGACTGTGCCTTTTTACTTGTCAACCTTGGGGCTTAGCCTCAGCAGCCAGCAGTTGTCTGAGTGAAGAAATGCCTCTAGCTCCAGTGGGTTGGGAGCAGGAAGCAGAGCTGGACCCCAAGGTTGAGGGGCTTTCACCCAGGCCTTAGAGACTGGCAGTTTGAACATAGACTTAAAGCCTCCAAATTTAAGAATAAACGCCTGTTTGTTATGGCCATCCCATTTGTGGTATATTCTTGTCAGAGCGGCACCAGGGAACCAGAACACCGGGAGTCAGGCCCAAAGCACAGTGTCCCCGTGTGTGTGAGAACAGAGTCGCGCTCCATGGGGTTTCCAGTGGCTGATTTTTCTGAGGTAGATCACCAAGTCTCTCCTCCCAGGTGCCTCTGCATGGACTCGAACCTGCAGCACAATTCACTGCATAACACTGAGCAGTGCAGACGTGGTCCCTTCCCACGATTCACTCCGTAACACCGAGCAGTGTGGACGTAGCCCCTTTCCAC